GTTATAGTGGTAGATCTTACATCAGAAGCATCAGGTGTAGCCCCAAAATCCATGTAGAGCTTGTAAGCAGTTAACTGTTTCCAGATAGAGCACTATTTCATGTTTTTTTCACTCCTTAGTCCCCATCAGGCTACTCTACAGATTCATACTCAAGCTACTCTAATAGTTACTTTTTAGATGATCTACTATAGATTTTTTTTCTAAAACTATACTAGCAATGGTGAGTACATTTTAATATCCATAAAGTAACAAACTAATCCTAGTAAATGTCAGTCCACAGTGTTTTATTGAGGTATAATTTTCCAAGAACTGAGGTAACTTGCATAGGTTTTTATGAAAAAAAATTCACACCAACTTGAACTAATTACAATTTTGGCATTCGCTACAGCAGATGGGAAATGATCCTTTAGGCAATGAAGAAGAGGTGCATTCTCTTAATAGTCTCCAGTTATGATTTATGCAACTGGTTTTACTCAGTTAACTCTGGTGCTTTATTCATGTGTGCTAGAGATTACTGAAGGGATGCTGCTTTACCAAAGAACTGGGCTCACTTTTTCCAGTATCTTTGAACACTGTTTGGCAAGATTAATAGACAGCTAAGGAATTTCCTTCCCCCCAAGTTTAGCAATCCCATTAACATTTTAGGCTTAGCATCTCAGTTGTAAAAGTTAAGGGTACATGTACAATAGGTAATCTTTCTCTCCAAGCCATCATTTCTATTGTTTTCCTCTAGACACTTCACACACACTATTATTTTCCCCTTTTAGTATAGCTCCATATGCACTACTGTGTTGAGTAGGAGCCATAAAAGTACTTGGCTCTTGCAATACTGAACATTACAGTGCCTAAAAAATTGTAAAACCCACAAAAGCCAGCAATGGTATATAGGGAGTTACCAAACCTAGCCCCTAAGACAGGAGTGGGGAACTTTTTTGGGGGTCAGGATCCACTGACCCTGCAGGAAACTCAGGTGGGGAGCTGCACGCAACTGAGAAGCAAAAACCCCTCACACTTTGACTGAGAAGGAGAAAGACCCTTCCCATGCATACCAGACCCAAGGTGAGCCCCCAGACTACTAGATTTTGTGTGCTCTGGCTCATGGGGGGACAGTGTGGGCTCCCCAATGATGAGGGGGAACCCCAGCCTTGGGGGCTGGATCTGGGCCCTGGGCCTTTGGTTCCCCAGCCCTACCCTAGGAACTACTGACCAGATGGGTGTGTACGAAGCCACTGGCTCTTAGAAATGATCATTGATTTGCAATCTATAAGGGGGAACCTGGAGGCAGCTGGATGTAGTGGTAAAGCAACATCTTGAGGGAAATGCGTTAGGTGCCTGCCTCACTTCACACAATGGCTGCTGGTGGTAGAGGGGGCTACCATGAAGTTTTCAATGATTAGGGCACTTGTCTGAGATGGGGGAATCCTAGTTCATACTCCCCTTTCTGACAATATTTATCCACAGTGGAACAATCACTGGATGTATCAGCCAATGAGAATGGGGAGCAGGCCTTAAGAGCACTGAGCTGGGAGACCCAGAGTCCAGTCCAGCTCCCTTGCTGCAGAACAGCTCTGAATCTAGATGTGTCTCATCTCACAACTATTCTAACCCCTGAGCTACAAGTTAAGGTTGGCACTACGCCCTCTCACTTCCTCTGATTTTTTTTTTTTTAATCCAGTATATGACCTCTGACCAAGCCTACCAGATCAGGTACTACAGGTAGTTTACTGTCTCATTCTTAGTTTTTGGCAGCAGATAGGCAAACTGTTTGCCTGCTCGTAGGGTGAAACAGGGACACCTCCAGGCTTCTGTAGCATTTCTTATCACTTGAAGGACACCCAGGAAAAAAAATCCCTACCCCAGTGAAGAAAAGTTCTATTACTTGACATTTAATAGATGCTTTTGTTAGTGCACCTTCATTCTGTGAATAAGACTGATTCCCACAGACAGTAAGAATCAATAAATGCTATAACATTACACACATGTAGAAAGTTAACAAGATTTACAGACATCAGCTGTCCATTTTTTTTTCTAAACCAATTCAGATCACAATATAAAATAAGCTGAAAAACAGCCTGAGGTAATAGTTAAAAATTCAAAGGGCAATTTTTAAAAAGTTGTAAAGAAATTCTAGGTACTTTAAAATTATCTACTCGCAATATAAATTTATACTAACACTTGAGTGCTTACTTTAGCTAATACAAAAGTGTATAAACAATGTACACTGCTTCACAAGTAAAAAAAATACAATTTGTACTTGCATTTTTCTCTAAAAATACACGAGTTGATAAGATACTTTTTCCTGTACACAGTCAACTGACTTTGGATTAGCTGCTACTGTTTTCACTTAAACAGTCAACAAATTCAGTACACTGCTGATTTCCAGATGGTGAGATAGGAAACGATATTTTACAGTGTGTGTTTGCCTGAGTAACTCGCTGGCTGTAAAACAAGATGTAGGCTTGAGCCTTGCATACTTCTTCCATAGTGCACAAGTTGAGTATGGAATCATTGCAGTGTACCCAGAACCCTGGAATGGAGTAACAGACAATTGTAAAACAACCACAATATTTATGTAAGATGCTTGTACTTTAGGGGTGACACAGGTCTGCTACCATTTGTTAAACACAAATTTGCTAATTTTCTTAATTTTGGGTAAAGTACTAGGGATGTAAAATCCTGGTTAATCAGTGAAACGTTAGATAAACCTAATATGATAAACCTAAAGCAGAATCCAGGCTAGGGACCGTGCCAGCCCAGCTGGAGGAGCCCCCAGCAGAGCAGCAAGTCTGTGGGATGCCTAGGCTCCCTGTGGACAGAAGCTGCTCCAGACAAGAGTAGCCCCTGTCTGCAGTGGGCCCCTGCCAGGCTGGAGCAGGCCCCTGCCCTCAGCAGGTAGGGAGCTGCTCCAGCCCCCACTGGCTACTGGTTAACCTTTCACTTCCCTAATAAGCACCACGTTTTACAGAGAAACAACTACCTTTTTATCACATACTTTGTAAGGAACATCTCTGCTGTACACCATATCACATTTGTCTAAGTAGGAAAAAACATCTTAGATTAAACAGTTTAGGTAAATAGTTATAAGTTTTTTGGCACTGGTAGGTCTGGTTAGTAAAATCTTGGTCCATTTTAATTTAAAATGATTCTATTTGTGGCTACATTTATTCGACTAAGGAAGTAGGAGTGTAGCTTCTGAAAGAAAAATTGCATTTCTGATTTAAATTCCTTGTCCATACCTCCTTCTGAGTTATAGCAGTAGGCAGTATAGTGCCCTGAACCAAATCCTTTCCCATGATGCATAATGACAGCAGACAAGTCATAGATAAAGCAATCAGGTAAGAGGGACTTAAGAGACTCTCGGCAGCAATAAGACTCCATATTTAATATCTGATCAAAGCTAACATGTACTCCAATCTTCTCACGATGATTGCGTCCTGACCATCTGGAAAAGTATCAACATTGAAAACAGTGAGTATTTTTCAGCTAATTTGTGTTAAGAGTATTTTAGTGAATCTATTAGGGATGTCAATGGTTAACCAGGTAACCCATAAGCGTCACCTTTACTGTTTACTGTTAACTAGCGAGAACTGCTTCAGCCCACCCCCATTTAATCATCTGGTAACACGGCTTAAACAATGTATAATTGGTTAACTTATTAAACAGGATTTTGCATCCCTAGAATCTATGCACATATAAATTCTGCTCCTGCTAATGCTTTTGTACTATACACATGTTAACATATATATGAGTACATTTAATATCCAGCCAAAATTCCCAACTCATCTCTTTTGCTTTCCCTTCAATTCAATGTTCATATGGAAAAATCCTTCACGTATGGGTTTTTACCTACACTATCAGCTGTTCTCAGCCTTCAAAATGTTATTCCTCACATTTGTCTGCTCTCCTGTGCCCACTAGTTATCTAAGCTGAAAGAGAGTGGGTGTAATTACCAAAAAATACATAGGTTACAAGAATTGATGCAGAAGCTTCAGAGACTTTTACAGTTTTGACTCTATAAATTAGAAGTGAAAACAGATCACTCCAGGGCTGATTCCCACTTTCCTTTTCCTTTTCATTAAGGAGTCACTATTCCCTTGGCTGGATTAAGATCACATACAGGTACCTGATGGGTTTGTTTTTTTAAAATGAATGCTAGTGAAGCTGCAAGTTATATATCACCCTGGTGGGATTCATGCAAACCTCAGAATATGCACTAGTGAATAACGGTCATCTATTTTAATCTCAGCATTTGGTAAGGTCACATGATACCAGTTTCAGTTCACAACTTCAAACACTGAACTGCAGATGATTTTTTTTTCCCCTCAAGATATCACAGATACTGCACGTGACAGATTACTCTCTTGGTACATACAAGTATCCACAAAAGTCTCTTTTTCAAATAGAGAAAATTGATTTTCTTGTTGCAAACTGGTTAAGCGTTCAAGATTTAGGATAGATTTTAATTCTCCTGACTTTTTGTTATTGGGAAGTAGCAGGAATAAAAATCTCATTTCTCTGCCTGTGATTTGCATTCTAACAATATTTACCAGGAAGCAGTGGGTTTCCAGAAATTGTCCTTCCTTATTAGGGATGTAAAAACACCCTAAACTAGTTAAATGTTTTGTTCGACTGGTTAACAGCCGTGGGTGGGGTCTAGCTGGCTGGGCTGATTAAGCAGGCTGTTAAGCCACCTGTTTACAGGCTAAGTGGTTAACCTCTTACATCTCTATTCCTTACGACTGAGTTTATGGGCATTCAAAGAAGATAATTTAGAGGATTTTTCTCAAAAATTGATTTTATTCACCCACTGACTGAACCCTGAGGATTAGTGACTACTGGAAAAAGGAGGGATATACGAGTCAAAGAGAATTTGCAATATTGCAAAGGTGCTCATAGAAGGTGTAGTCTCAGAACTTGAGGTAGTTGACACACCATAAGCTGTTTCTGGGCTTCTGTAAGTATAATTGGTTTTGAAGAAAACTTCCTGCGTTTTGCTGTGATCGAACACACACACATGAATTAAGCGCTAAATTTAAAAAAACCCACCACTAGCATAAAGCACCCTTGAATAGTTTTGAAAACTGTTTGTCATTTTAAGATTTGACCCCAGGATTTTAAGTATTTAGATACAGTAACATTCACTATCCCATGTTACTTTCTTATTAAACTGATGATGTATTTTGGAATCCAATCAGTAAGGATTATTTTATGATTATTGGGCATACAAAATGCTTTTCTGATATACCTCTGGATTATTCAGATGAATGTTGGAAAATATGTACAGCAGTTCATCTATTTTCATCAGGACCAAACTGTCAGACTTATTTTAACAGATTTTTCCCCTCTTCTTGGAGACCATCTTCTATTGTAAAATGACCTAATCTGAGATCTTAAACTTACTTTCAAGCCCACTTTTGATGCACTTAGTATAGAAAAATAGATCTTCAGATTATTTCCTTTCACTATTAAATAAATGGTCTTGTGTTAAAGTCTTATGCTTTATTTATATGACTAGAGCTATAAAAAAATCCATGGTCTATTTTGATGGATTTCACAATCACAGGATTTTAAAAATTGTGATTTTAATTATTTCAGCTATTTACATCTGAAACTAATTGCAGGTGTCCTGACCCAAAAAGGAGTTTTTGGAGGTAGGGGTCACAAGGTTATTCAGGGGGAGGGAGGAATTGCGGTACTGGTACCCTTACTTCTGATGTTACTTCAGAGATGGGCAGCTGGAGAGCAGTGGCTGCTGACTGGGCCCCGAGCTCTAAAGGCAGAGCTGCCCCCAGCAGCAGAACAGAAGTAAGGAACGTATGGTGTGGTATTGCCACCTTTACTTCTGTTCTGCTTGCGGAACTGGGCCCTCAGTCAGCAGCTGCCACTCTAAAGCCACCTAGCTTTGACGACAGTGAGGGTGGCATTACCATCACCCCCATAATCTTGTGGGACCCCCACAACACACTTGGGTCAGTATCCCCAAATTGAGACATCTTGGTCTCTCCCTGTGAAATATGCATAGTATAGGGTAAAAGTACAACAGAACATCAGATTTCACAGTAGGAGATCAGCTTTCAGGGTCTGACTCATTTTTCAAGGTTGCGAATTTGTCTATATATGACAGATGCTTTTAAAATTTGTATTGCTTTCCCTTTAATTGCTGTTTTTATTTTTCAGTGCCTATATTAATGTATATTTTATGTGAGGAACTTATGCATGAGTACATACTGCCTTTACTCACTGTTGCATTGATCACATGCATATATCTTTCCTTCTAAAGCTTCCGTCTCTGTAAACTTGGCCAACATTTCTGTAAGTAGGCATGGATACTGAAAAGCCATCTCCTTCCCATTGCAATGATACCTCTCAGGAAATTCCAGCGACAGGTCCCAGAAGGGTTCTATTGTATTTGACTTATTGTCACACGCAAGACATGTAACCTGTTAAGCAAAATATTAAGTTATCCTCTTTAACATACAAAAACCTGCTTCTCCACATATCCCTTAATAGTAGGGCTCTGTAATAGTATGTGAATTTGGATCACAGATGCAAATATATAAAATAGAAATATTTTTAACTGGAAACAAAAAATTACCTGTTAACTTATTTTCTCTGAAGCAGCACGTCCACCACTGTATTACAATGATGTGCTAGATACTTTTCTCTTCAGTGAACTATAGGCAGTTTCAAAAAGATCTACTTGGGACTGCTCAAGGCAAGGAAGAACAGCCCCTGAGATTTTTTTCTAAAACAAATACTTACAAAGCAATAACTAACATGAAGTACATGTTAGCTTTATTGAAAGGAAATAGCTTTTTTAAAAATAAAATCACATTGTTATTTTGGAAGTCTTGTAGGGAAGCTATGGATTGAAAGACATCTTTTCAATTTAACAGGTTAAAAAAAATTCAGAAAGTCCATCTACCTATTACGCTTATGGTACAGCTAGACTGCGAGGATCTAATGGAAAAAGATACGCAAAATACGCTCTTTTGTCAGAAGAGGCTCTTCCAAAATTTGGCCCGTCTAGACCGGAACGAGGAATATGTGGGCTTCCGAAAGAGCTTGTTTGCTCTTCCGCAAAAAAAGCGGAAGAGCAAACATCCCCTGGACCCAGTGGCGGTTTTTCAGGTATCCTGAAAAACCTCTGAAGTCTAGCCATACCACTACGGAAAAAGAAGAGCAACAACCATAGACTAGCAATAATAAAATATGGTGAAATGAAAAGAGAATCTTTCTGGAAAAAATGGAAGATAACACATCAAGGAAAATATAACTCACTTGACAGACAGAAAGGAAGAGTCCTGAAAAGCTGTAGGATTGTGGGCTGCTTTTTTTTTTAAAACTAGAATATTACAACATACATTATACATGAGACTTGAAAAAAAAAAAGGGGAAGGGCAACCACCCCCGGGACCCAGTGGCGGTTTTTCAGGTATCCTGAAAAACCTCTGAAGTCTAGCCATACCACTACGGAAAAAGAAGAGCAACAACCATAGACTAGCAATAATAAAATATGGTGAAATGAAAAGAGAATCTTTCTGGAAAAAATGGAAGATAACACATCAAGGAAAATATAACTCACTTGACAGACAGAAAGGAAGAGTCCTGAAAAGCTGTAGGATTGTGGGCTGCTTTTTTTTTTTAAACTAGAATATTACAACATACATTATACATGAGACTTGAAAAACTAAGGCTGGCTTGAGATTCCGTTGGATCATCATGCTGCATCAGTCTTTTTCTATAATTCTTCCATATGCAGCATGCAAGTGGACTGCCTATGGACCAGCTTGGATGGTCTGGGCCTAAGGCAGTAGCAAGGCCGCATTTGGAATACAACAGATATGATTCAGGCACCCTGATACCAAAAAAAGCTGACCAATAGGGTTTTTTTCACAACAGGAAAACTGGAAAATAAATCTTTCACATGTTTAGATTTACCCTCCTAGTTTTGCACATGATTAAAGTGTAAGTAACCCTTAACAGGAATATTTACACTTAATTTACCAGAACCTTCCAAATAATCTCACTAATAAACCCTTGAGGGAAAAACCTCCCAACATTTATAAATAGTCAGAAATCACTAATGACAGCAGCTCTAAACTTGTCATCATTTTGGAAAGGTCAGATATTTTTGAGAAAGCCGTACAGTAGATCCTGTTAGTGTCAAAGCTATCCATACTGATCTACATAACTTCCAGTACTGGACGCAATCCCTATTTTGATATAATGGCTAACATCTTCCATAAATGAAGCTTATGGAATGAAATCAACCAGGAGATGGGCCATAAACACAGATTTACTTTACATTTTATTGACTCAGAACATGACGACATGAAATGTACTTATTACAACCTTCAGTTTTTACAACACACATCTCAACATGTTTTCAAGTGTGTGGAATTTTTTTTATAAATGTATAACTGGAAGTATAACTGAAAGCCAAAACAGTGGTTGATGAGTATTCTACATCAATACATCCTTCCTATTTGATTAGCTGATATAGCTAACATGAAAATATGATAAACATCAATTGCAAAAACAACCAAGTTTGAAAAAGGATCAGAATATTTATTATATTTATCATAACACAAAATCAGACATAACTGCTATAATAGCACCCTACACTGCAGTTCTAGAAATCTCAGGTGGGCCTACATCTATAGCATTGACCTTCAGAAATATGGAAATTCAGACCATTTCCCCCAAAAGTTCCTTTTTATACAGTGGTCTGACTCATAATCATGAGCACCTTTCCCAATATGCTCTACTAGTAACTGCCTCTTAGAATCTGGTAACACAACTATTTACAGCTCTTTGGTGGTCATTTTGCCTGCAAAGCAGGTTGCAATTCCTTCTGCTCCCATGCCTCATGGTTTTTGCCTTGCTATCGTTACTGAGAAGACACATTCTCAGTTTATGAAACAGGGAAGTATTAAAACTGTCAAAGAAATCTTCTAGAAGAATGCTGTAATAGAGACTTCACAGTTGAACAGTCACAACTTAACCTTCAGTAGCACACACTGGTGGTTAATTAAAAACACCCCAAACCCTGAGAGAGGCCTGTCAAAGGGATCAGTAATAATGATCACTCCTGTGTTGGCAACCATTTTTGTTCAGTACCTCCTTACACAAAGTTGAGCAAATACTTAATCTTTGCTGCTCTGCTGAATTTTTCCAAACAAACATTTTTAGATTAAAATGGATTTAAAAATACTAAAAAAATGCATAGTTGAGGGCACTATAAAGTGAAACCCTTTCATTCCTCCTGAAATTAGCTATTTAACATAAGTGCCATTCTTTAGAGCAAATAACAAAATATGTACTAGTATCCAGTAATAAGTGGCCATTCTACCTATTAGCCAACGCTCATTCATTTTAAGTAAGGGATACTCAACACGTGGACCACAGTTTGGCTGTGTCTAGACTGGCAAGTTTTTCCGCAAAATCAGCTGCTTTTGCAGAAAAACTTGCCAGCTATCTACACTAGCCGCTTGAATTTCCGCAAGAACACTGACTTCCTACTGTAAGAAATCAGTGCTTCTTGCGGAAATACTATGCTGCTCCCGTTCGGGCAAAAGCCCTCTTGCGCAAATCATTTGCGCAAGAGGGCCAGTGTAGACAGCACAGTACTGTTTTGCACAAAAAAGCCCCGATGGCTAAAATGGCCATCGGGGCTTTTTTGTGCAAAAGCACATCTAGATTGCACGGACGCTTTTCCGCAAAAAGTGCTTTTGCGGAAAAGCGTCCATGCCAATCTAGACACTCTTTTCTGCAAATGCTTTTAACGGAAAACTTTTCCGTTAAAAGCATTTGCAGAACATCATGCCAGTCTAGACGTAGCCACTGGGTTTACGCAGGGCTCAACACGTGGCCTGCAGAGGGGCTTCTTTGAACATGGCCTCCACTGGGAACACGCTCCACAACAGCGAGTCAATATAATGATCTTATGTTGATATGAGTTTTAGTGGTTAAATTCCTGGACCATCATTGCTCATTAAAAGTGCTGACATAGGGATGGAAATTGGGGAAATATTGCATTTTATTAGTATCAGCAGAACGGACTTAAATGGGGCCTGCATGTTGAGTAGTCTTGCCTTAATCTTTGTATTCAGGCCGATCAGTGTGAGAGAAGCTATTTGCATATATCTGCATGTATATGCAACCACACGTAAGTTGTGGGCCTCCGTATGTGTTGTGAGTGGCCTCTGGGGCTTCCAAAGTTGAGTAGCCCTGTTTTAAGTTATTCTGGATGGAGCTCATTCAGGTATACATTTTGTAAATGCCAAAATCAGGCAATGTTTAAAAGCAGCATTTCTGAAATGCAACCACCAGAGGATTTTCCTAGAGTGTGAGGCTGCAGAAGGAAGCTTGGGGGAAAGGAAGAGAGGTGAGAGTAGCAGAGCACAAGAGGGTGATGGCAAGCCTGAGAGTGGGGGAAGGCAGCAGGGACTGGAGGCACCAAAATACAACTGTCCATTATTTGTATTATTGAGTCTGCAAAAACAACCCTACCTAAATGATTTGTAATTATGATTACAATAATTTCGACATATATATGTGGATATTTTTTCTTAAAGTATTTTATGAAAATTTGTCAGTGTGGTCACAACCAAGAATCTATGGCTGCACTCTGAGGCCATGAAAAATGTTGTGAGAACCCCAGCCTAAATCCATAAGCTCTGGCTACGTCTACATTGGCAAGATTTTGCGCAAATACTTTAAACACAAGAGTTTTTGTGTTAAAGTATTTGCGAAAGAGAGTGTCTACACTGGCATGTGCTTTTGCGCAAAAGCATCCGTGCCAGTGTAGACGCTCTCTTGCGCAAGAAAGCGCTGATGGCCATTTTAGCCATTGGGCTTTCTTGTGCAAGAAATTCATGTTTCCTGTCTACACTGGCCTCTTGCGCAAGAACAGTTGCGCAGAGGGCTTTTTCCTGAGCGGGAGCATCCTAGTTCTTGCGCAAGAAGCACTGATTTCACACATTAGAACGTCAGTGTTCTTGCGTAAGAACTCCCCGCCAGTGTAGACAGGCAGCATGTTTTTGCGCAAAAGCAAGTGCTTTTGCACAAAATCATGCCAATGTAGACACAGCCTATCAGTAATTCAGAATGAAAAAGGAATCAGAGTCTAGACCAGGCATGTCAAACTGATGTTCGGAGGGCCACATGCGGCCCAAGCAAAATTTTTTGCAGCCTGCCAGAACATTTTATAAAAGAATCAAGTGCGGCCCTCTGGCCGCTTGGAGTATGTGACCGAGTGTCTGTTCACAGCCGGCTGGGCTGCTTTGCACCGTTAGGTTGAGAGGTCTGGCTCTGGGGGAGGCCAGACCATTTTATAAAAGAATCAAGTGCGGCCCTCTGGCCGCTTGGAGTATGTGACCGAGTGTCTGTTCACAGCCGGCTGGGCTGCTTTGCACCGTTAGGTTGAGAGGTCTGG